GGCATCGCGCGACACGCGCGTGCGTGTGTGGTGAAGGAGCTACCGCCAGCTACCCTGTGCGTACATGGCGCATGGATGGCTATGTGCAGCGCTAACGCGGAGGTCCGACATCTTGCGAGATCCGGTAAAACGGCACACGGTCCCGGCCACGAAGGTCTAAGCCTCGCCCGTTAGCCATGCGCGCCAGCCTAAGGCGCAAGCGACGTGGGATGAGAAAGGGCGAGGCGAAGGCAGAGTGCGGCGATGCGCACCGAGCCACTGGCCAAGCTTTGTGTAGTGCGACTCGGGGTCCCTCGGCACGTAGCTGGACCATCCCTCCCCAAGCTCAAGCCAGTCGTCCCACTCCTCCCGCGTCGACAATCCCAACTGCTGAGCCCATTCGCTGGCTGCCGAGTACGGCAGAAATCTACGCGGCCGACGAAGCACAGCCTGTGAGTGCTGGCGAGTCAGCCGAGCCCGCTCCACGCGCCAATCGGTCGTCGTCGAGGGCGTGACCGCCTCGTCGCTCTCGTCGGCGGCGAGCATGGAGCACTTTGTGTGTTGGTGCAAGCCGTGCACCTTTGGAGGCGTCGGATTCCAGGCAACGAGATAAAGAACCATCGCCAGCACGGGCATGTCTCTGGCAAAAGGGGTTGTAGGTTTGTTGTTGGCAAAGCAAGAGCGTGTGGTGGTGCCCCTGCGGTGGTCTTCGAGTTGGCTACCGCAGTTTTCTTTTAGGTGTTTTGTAGGCAAATCAACACACAGTTTTCTTTTATGAACCTGCCACCGGAGAGTGTTTTTTCACCCCATGAAAGGCGCAGCGGCGGTTACTGGTGCACTAACCCCGAGGAACCCGACCGTGCTCGAACAGCGGTCAGCGGCGGCGGCACCTAGGGAATTTCCAGACCATGTTCCGCCCCTGATCCGACCATGATCCGACCATGTTCAAAGTGATGACGGTGGGAACAGGTCAGTATCAGATACCAGTCGTCTTCTTCGCTGTTTATTCACAGCACGCCCCTAGGAAACCTAGACCCTGGGGTCGCCTCGTGAATAAACGAGTACGGTGATCAGATACTCAAATAAAAGAGCGGTGATGAGATACGCAGCTTCGGTCTGCTCGAGGGCGGAACGGGTACCCCCTCTTGCACGTGTCTTGGAGCACTTGGAGTGCAGTCATCAACCGCACATCCAGGGCCGGGGAGCTCAGAAGCGCACCCAGCGGGCCGGATGATTGGCATCGGGTTGCGGGCAAGAGAGCCCTAGCCCCGGGGGTGCGCGTTCGCAGGGAAAGGGCCTTAAGGTAAACACGGGTCTCCGAGGGTTAGCCCCGCGTACCGGGTTTCCCCTTAACTGCAGGACGCCCCCTCTACTCGGAGCTAATGAACACCATACTGCACGCCCCACACCACCACTCTACACTCACTTGCGTCGGCGTCTGAGTAGACCCCCCCGCCTGAGGGCTCACCCCTCGCCTTCCCAGGGTCTCAACCCTCCTTGATTCGCTCTCTTGCTCGTCTCCCGAGCGTTATGCGACGACCGGGATGGTCGTTTCCCTCGTTGTTGGTGTCGCTTCCTCCGCTGCCGCCCTTCATCTCCGCCAGCTTCTCCCGGCTCCACCGCCTCCGAGGGCGTCGACGGCCCGGTCGAGGTCTCCCCGGGCGAGAACGGTGGCATTGGGTCGCGACCAGTTCCACCCCCGGGGGGTCGAGCCCGCTCTCCCTGGTTGTCTCGCGCCCGCACCCGCGGCCTCTCTATCGTCCTCGGCTCGCCCCCCCCCTCCGCCGGCTCCTCTCCAGGCTCGGAGGGGCGTGGCCCTCCCTGTGGAAGGTCGTGGTGGTCCGGTTGCCACTGCGACTGGCCTTCCCCTGGTGAGCCCGTACGTCCCGACTCCACTCTCAGAGGCCGCGTCAGCTCATCTCTCGCCTCCTCCGACAACTGACCCCAAGCCGGGCGAGACGAGGGAGGGAGCAGGACGTTGCGGAGATCAGCAGGAGGATGTACGAAGAGATTAGGAGCAGCACGGACCCGAGGGACCATGTGGAAGACGGCTAGTGCTAGTCCCCCATCGGGAGGACGACCCCGGCTAGTCGCCGACCACACCCACAAAGAACCCTGCACAAAGATCGCAAGGGCGGGGACCTGTTCCTTTTTACCCATCTCACTATAGAGGTGTCCGTTTTTATTTATTTATTTATTTAAAAAATAAGAGCACATACACTGAAAAGAAGAAGGGGGCTGGTTAGCCGTTAGTAAGTTAGTAAAGGTCGGCTCAGACTCGTAGCGGGCGGACGTTCCTTCCTCGGCTGATAGAGTGATAGTGCCGACGTCTTCTCGGCAACTCAGAATCCATGCGCAATGCCACTTACGGGAGCGTGCTCGCCGACGTCAGCGTGCTGTGCGTCGTCCCGACGCGCTGGCCTTTGCTCGGCCCCATCTCAGTGGCTCTCCACACGTGGCTCATTGGATGCGACCGCATCGTCCTCGGGGTGAGCTGGGTGCAGCTTGGCGCTTCTTGGCGGCCAGTGCACCGCCTCAACAGCTCTTGTGCTGGCGCCTCCGCCACGCACGAGAGCCACACCAGCCGGATCGACGTCTGGCTACCCGTGCGCGCCTCAATACAGTTCGCAGCCAGGCACAACATGACAGGCATGGACTGGCTAATGCTGGCCGAGGACGACTCCTACATCGTGATGCCCAAGCTGCGGGCATTCCTTCGGCCGCACGCTGCCTCCGCGCCCCACTTCTTTGGCGCGTGCGCGTGCTTGCGTAGTCCGGGCGTCAATCTCTTCTCGTCCGCCGGGTTGCAGCGGCTCGAGCCACGTATGCCGGCATGCGAGCCCATCCACCAGTGGCGTGATGCACCCAACCACACAGGTAATGGCAAAGGCGCGAGCGACATAGCGATTCACTTTTGCCTGGCGAAGGCGGGGCTAACGTGCAGCCAGCCGCTCGACGAGCATGGTCATATGCTTATGTCCGTGATGGCGAGCACACCGCAGAAGACACTGCGTCGCCACGTGGGCGCGAGCCGTGGGAACCGCCAATTCTGTGCACGTTGGCCCTGCTCGGAGCGGCCTGGGTGTTGGGGTGCGGGGACCTTCGCCTTCCACGCGCGACCGCTCAAGGACCCTTCAATGCAGTGGTCGCTGCACTCGCAGCTCCACCAGCCGACGACGAAGGGCTTCTGCAGTCCCATTTAGGTGGGTTGAGGGTTGTCACGGAGCTGCCATGTTATGCGATTCGAAAACGTTGAACACCTACGTTCCGTCGATGCGCTTCTCCATGCCCGCCTCGTGGGGCGGCCTCTTCGGGCCAGGGGTGGTCCAATCGTTCAGCCGTGCAAAACGATCTGCGCTGGATCTGCGCCCTCGCTTTGATCGTCGTGACTCTCCGCACTCTGGGATCCTCCTGTCGTGTTGAACCCTGCTCAGCCCCTCTCCCGTCTCCTCCCCATCCTTCATTTGTCCGTCGAACACTGCAAGTAGCAAATAAAAACGATGTTCGGTGTCCAGTTGGTGCCGGTGGGAGCGAGAGCACCTCTGACCTCTCCACTCTCCACAGCCTTCGCCATGCTCTCTATCTCCACGTATCTCCCGAGGGGAGGGCGACGGCAGCGCGCTGGCCGGGCTGGCCGCCGTGGCCTTGGCGGGGGAGCCTTCACTGCCGTTCGGCCAAGCTCGAGCAGTAGAGCTGGAGGACGGGCTCTCTGGCCATCAGGAGGAAGCAGTCGAAGGCGGTGCGACCAGCCCAGCTTCAGCGGCCGCTCAACGAGCGGTGATCGAGGCTGGACAAGTTACGATCATGCTCCGAACCGCATCGGGCAGTCGTTTCTCGGCAGTTGTCAAGCCCTCTGACACAATCCGAGATTTGAAGGACTGCCGCTCCACGAGAATCGCGACAGATGGTTTCCCGGAGACCATTCACGTTACAGTTCCACTTACCCAACGTTCATCAGCTCTACCTTTCCTGGAGGGAGACCCACTATGCCGGCTCCTCGATCACAGATCTTTTGGACGACCGACAGTGGCTGCTCTTGACTCCGTGGGACGTCCGGTGTCATTTTCTCTTGTGTGTGGCACCTTGTGACTATGGGTGGATGTTTGGGGTGGTCACTGGGGCACGTTGCTCTCCACTTTCTAGAGGACATGATCTTCGGTCGCCGGAATCCTCACGGAATCCTAAAGGTCCCGTATCCGGCCTTTCAATGTCCACTATTAGCGCTCTTGTTTTTTTTTCCGCTGGTACCCTAGGGACACCGACTCCACGGTCTTCGCCATAGCATCTATCTCAGCAATGCTCACTCTCTGCGCTTATTCCTTCCAATCGCCGGCGACCCGCATCGCGCCGGCCGGACGGCACGCCTCCATCGCCATGGCGACGCCCAACGCGGCGCCCATCTACGACGGCGAGTACGCCGCCGAGCTGCGCGAGACGGCGTCGGCGATGGTGGCGCCGGGCAAGGGTCTGCTTGCCTGCGACGAGTCCACCGGCACCGTCGGCACACGGCTCGAGAGCATCGGCCTCGAGAACAACGAGGCCAACCGCCAAAAGTGGCGCAACCTCCTCTTCACCACGAAGGGCATTGGGCAGTACATCTCGGGCGCGATTCTCTTCGAGGCGAGAGCTCAAGGCTGGCCCTCCCACCCACCAGAGGGCAAAGCGAACGCGCCGCGCCCCGCTCTGCCACCGCAGGAGACGCTCTTCCAGGACGACCCGGCCGGCAAGCCCTTCGTCGACGTGCTG